AGACTTTTTGGTTTTGTTTTTATTTTATTGTATTTTGGGAGCCAACCTGTGCACGTTCTGCACAGAAAAAGCAGCTTGTGGTTCTAATTGTTCTTCCTCCTCTGTCTCCTCGTGTCCGCTCTCTGCAGTCTTGGTGTCCAGAGAGGACGAGTTCAGCAGCAGGCTGAGCAGCAGGGCTGGTTTCCGTGGCTGCACAGCGCTTCACTACGCTACGCTGGCCGACGACCCACGCGCTGTACGCATGCTGCTTGAGGCTGGTACGTTACCGACCCCGAATCATTACAACCGTCCCATCACTGCCCACGGGGGGCCTCAGAGTGTCAGCGTAAGAGAAGTAAAGGTGATGACAGATGCAGCAGCCTCCATGTGTTTTGCTTTGTTGCTTTGCAGTCTGATGCCTTACAGGTGCAATTTTTAATAGAGAATATCTTAGGTATTATTAAAGTCAAATAACTGCCAAGCTGTGTGGCAGTCTCCACCTTTATTTTATATACACTCCTCAATCCTGCGCGCCCACTGTACAGTGGGCGGAGGATTTTAGTAGCTCTTACCTAGGTGAACTCAGTCTGCCTTTCCTGAGGCTACACTCTGTCAGCCTCTGCAAACACAGCTGACAGATGATAGTGTCCACTGGTGGGAGAAGTTTGAGTTGTTTGATCTCAGTTTGACAGTTTGCTTGTTTCGTCTTCTGTGGAGGTGATGTTTCCAGGCACATTGTAATATAATAGTTCCATATGTTAGCGTCTGCTGTTGCGGTGGCTAATGGGAATCTAAATGAATAAAGATGTTTGTAATCATACCTTTCAGTGGTCTTGATAAGTCAGGTCAAATGGCACTTTAATTATCTAAAGAGGCTTTTAAATGTAAATTTGCAAATTCTTACCTGAACTGTGACATTCTGTTACAGTTGGGATTGAGTGGAAAAAAACAAAACATTTTTTGGTTCTCTTTGTCCAACTAGACAAAATCTAAACGAGTCACTATCGTTAAAAGTAGGCGGGGCAGTTAATGTTTCATTTCATGACCAATTTTACCTTCCAAAAACAACTTAAGTGAGATAATTTGAATAAAATGATCATTGTAATAACTTTCTTTAACTGTAATCCAGATTCACTCCCTGCTGTGGGACGTTTTCTTTCTTTTAAATGTTTTTTTAATTTAGAATTATAAGTCAAGTTAAATGAAATGTACATCAAATGCACTATTTTTCAAAGGTTGATGAGTAGTAATGTTGACCAAATCATTTGTGGTGATGGCTGCCTTTTTGTTGTTAATGTAATTATGGTAATCTGATATTAAATGTATGTAAATAGTTAAATCGCAATTTCTCGTAGAAATACATAATGCAAGACCCTGAATATATGCAAGTTTGTTTACTGACAGCTCAATTCAAGAGTAACAGTCAGTTTAAGACCTTTTACTTTGATTATTAAACAGAATAGTTCTCGTTCCGTCTTTAAAGCTAAAAGCAGTTTCACCTCCACCAGCTTTTCAGATATCATCACTTGAACGCATCCCCTGCGACTGATATAAACAGCATTACAAAACTCATTTGAAATTGATTACTTCTCTGCTTCCTTTGCCCCCCCCCCGTTACACTCACACCTGCCGTTGACTCAGCGCCACTATTACACACACGCAGACCCTGGAGGCAGAGTATCCCCCCTCAGTTTCCAGGCGAGCAGCTCTTAAACAAGCTAGGCCTCGTTGAACTGTGACCTCCTCGCAGAACATGCCCTTGGGGTAGCTCCACAAGCACAGGAAGTGTGAGTCTTTGTGTGTGTGTGTGTGTGTGACCATGTATGTTAGTGCACTCAGGCCCCCATATGATTAATTAAAGTATTCATATATTCAAGTATGATTTCATCCATCTGATATTCTTGTTTCAGTGTGTGGATGCCTTTTTTCCCTCTTTTTCTTTTTTTAAACTTGCATTGGTGAAGTTGTTGTTTGTTGTCGTCTTTTAGGTCGATTAGGCTTTTAATCTAAAAACACTCCATTTTAGGATCACTCTACGCTCAGTGAAACGCACACACGCAGATGCACAGGAGCTTGTATTAATGTCTTGTTTATGTTTATGATGGATGATGCATCTGAAGCTCTGTCAGCCTGTCTCTCCCGTCTCACCCCTGCCTCTGTAAGCACTCCGTACGCTTAAACAAATCACCTCAACTAACTCGATCAAATGTTCTGCAGACGCATTTTTGAATTAAAAAGGTAAGAAATTTCACGAAGCAGAGACATTTGTTTTAGGACAATTGGATTAAAGACGGGCTTGGTTGTCGCTCGCCCGGCTGGGCCTGTGCAGGGTTGGCGCCACCATCGCTGCCAATAGCATTTGTGGCATCACGCGCCCTCAATCACATGTTGCCATGCATCTGTGATCCCGTGCAAATGTGAGTGTAATTAGTTTCTTGTGCATGTTTCATTGTTTTTCCTCCTCATACGAGCTTCCGGTATCCTTCTTTCCTTTAAGCCATTTTCCATTCGTAGCATCCTATCCATCTTTTTTTTTCTTTTTTACATCATCACAAAAAAAATCTTATGAACTGTCACAGCTTCAGGACATCTATGTGGATTTTGGTGTGTGTGTGTGTGTTCGCTATTTTGTGCGTCATCTTCCTTTCATGTATGTACACACTGAGCCTTGTTATTTCCCTTGTGTTTGTGTTCATCTGTGTAACTCTACTAGCTGTGGGTTTGCTCTTTTGGCCTTAGCCGGCCCTCCACTCACATCTCCATCCATCACAGTCTCCAGGCCCACCCTCAGGCTTCACTTCGCCACACAGTCCCTCACCCTACCTGCAGAGGCTCTCTAGTTTCTCCCCGTGCTCCACATCGGGCCTGTGGCCAGGGGCACTGAGTAATGGACAGCTCTGTAGGTGGTAAGAGGCCAGAGGAGACACACATGCTCGCAGATGCACACAAAGACACACACACACACACACACACGCATGCATAAAGACCAGCAGGGGCTCTCTCCCACCAGCTGCACTGAAAGAGAGGGAGGAGGAAATGGGAAAGAGGAGGGCACTCCTAATAGGCATAACTAAAGCACTCCTAATGAAGGGATCGTGTGTGTGTGTGTGTGTGTGTGTGTGTGTGTGTGTGTGACTGTTGTTAGTGTTGATCCTGTTATAAAGTGCTATGGCCCAGAGGGTTGGCCTGATATTAAAGCCCTAAATGATGCTATTTATTATGTCTGGTGTTGGCGCGTGTGTGTGGTACTTTATTGCTTTTCGGCCTCATGTTTTTTTTTGGGGGGGGGAGGTTGTGGCGTATTGTCAGGATCGATGGCTTCTGAGCAGGTCACGAAATTTAGGGGTTTATCGATAATCATCACAGTGATTATTAGTCTCTGCGGCCAGTGCTCAGAGCAATAGAGCAACAATCACCTGTACTGATTACATAGTTTGTTTGCTTTTTTTTTTTTTTTTCTGTGTTCTGAAGAAAAAGTTCAGATGGGATTTCTTGTTCGTAGTGGGCCGTACAGCATCACAGTACAGAGTACTGAAGTTACTAATGTTGTTTTCTCTCATGAGTGTCAGTCAGTGTAGACCGAGCTTCTTATAAAGACAGACTGTTAAACACTGACTCATCACAAACCCATTTGACTCTCAGTGGCAGAAAGAAAATCAGAAGAAATCTATAAGAAGTGCAGCATTGTGTTCATTACTGTTGAAAGCTGAATTCATCTTTCACTTCATCAATTTTTAAAAATTTATTTCATTTCTGGTAAATATAGTTGGAGCTTGGTGATGTTTTACTAGGAGTAACCCTTGAAGCTCTTCTCTGAACTGAGTGGTTTCGGTCATGTTTTTTTTCAGGCCTGCTTATAGAACAAATGACTGTGTGTGCATCAGAAGTTAGTGACTGTGCTCTCTCCTACTCAGCAGCTACGCTTGGAAAAACCCAGAAACTCTTCTTGTAGTTGTCAAGTAACGTTTTTATTGAGTTGTGTGTGTATCTATACAGGGAGTGCAGAATTATTAGGCAAATGAGTATTTTGTCCACATCATCCTCTTCATGCATGTTGTCTTACTCCAAGCTGTATAGGCTCGAAAGCCT